TGTTTCTCTGACCCGGCTGGGGAGGTTCTGGTGAGAGTTTTGTCCCCTGACCCGGCTGGAGACTTCTATGGATTCAGCTTGTTGAGGTGGACAGTGTTGGTGGCTGAAATGAGGTGGACGGTGGTGGACAGAGCTGGACAGTGAGGTGGCCGAAAGGAGCTCCACAAGGGAGCTCCAGCCCCTCCATAGCCTGAACCTAAACTGCTTTGCAAAGATACAGACTTGCAATAGAGTTTATCCTAAAGGGCCAAGCAAGAGTTTGGAAAAATGTGGAAGAATTATTTGAGAGGCCAGGCAAAATTCTCAGACTATTGCAAATAATTTGGCACAAATTGTGAGAAAGTGGTCAGGAAATTCACAGCCAAACAGTTAAATAACAATACAGTGATAGCTTAGAAGGTGGATGTCCCCTGAATTAAATTCCAGCTGCAAGCTCTAGTTATAAAGCAAAACACAAGCAGGAGTTTTCCACTGAAGACTCTGAGTCCTGATGAGTACTTGACAGTCGAACACATCTGAAACACGAAGAGACCACACGTGTGGAGGACAAAGAGAAGAATTCAGTGACATTTTCCTCATGCCTCACGCTGTGGGTGCTTGGGTGACGGTTTGGGTGTGTCTTCCCCAATTCCCTGATGACCTTTTGGATTGTCGAAATAGCATCAGGTGCTGGTTAACATCAAGACTTGGTATTGTACTTATACTGTATGTAACCCAGCGGTAGAATCCCAAGACAGGAGTTGGTGTTCCAGCAGGATCATGGCTGTTAGCCCGTTTTGAAGAGCACAGGGGAGTTTCTGCGCGACGGGAAGACCGCAGTCACGGACTGGCCATCTCGGCCTCGGAGACTGGAGCCCGGCAGGCTGCTGTGACGTGACCTGAAGGAGGAGACCACAGCTGACTGCTGGACACCATTCTGTGTGTGGAGAAGGAAAGGCAAATATGTCTCGGGAAAGATGACAGGGGCTGGTTTGGGAAATGTAGGGCAAAGCTGCTAGCTGTCAAAGAAACAAAGAAAAGGCACACAAAATACTGAAGAAAGGCTGTACCTATACTAAAATACTTCTGGAAGTAGTTTTCCATTACTTAGTCATTCTTTTTAAATTACAGAATATAGTCTCGCCTTATTTTATACATTTCAAATGTACAATGGAAACTTTACATGTAAACTCCATTTTGTATTGCAAGAGGTTTGTCTGTTACTACGTGCACACTTCATGAAATATTTAATATGACATATTATATTAGTATAAGAGGTTCTCTGGAGAAACTAATAAGAAAACTGAATTTGGTTTAATAAGGCAGAGAAATTGGGTTATGGAGTAAGTTTGATCATTTGAAATGCACTTTTGAATGTCAACAATGTGCTTCTTCATACAATGACAGACAAAGTGGTTGTCCTTCACCGATAAGTGAAGGAAGACATCTGTTTTTTTTTCTGATTGTAACATCTGGCTTTTGCAAACGATCTTGACCCACAAAAATAGGAAGACGCTGTATTAAGAGAATCAGTGAACAGTACTTGTCTGCATCTTCCATCCTCCTGAAGTCAGGCAATGCAGTTATTAGTTTTCTAAAACTGAGGAACAGAAAGTGCTTTCTGCTGTTAGATTGGATGAAAAATAGTGACTTATCACAACTAGAGATTTTAGGGTTGGTTTCTGTTTGGCATTTGCTAGCCAGAAACTATGGTGATATCTGGAAAGCCGTGTTAAAGTATTATATTTTTAGAAACGATTTCATTGTGTTTTATGCAAGGCCCAGATGAAGTATTTCTACAGGCCACTGGCCATAAAGTGTATTTGTTTGCACCTCAGAACGCTCTTTTAGAAAGGTACAGACAGATTTCGTAGCCCGGGGCTGTAGGTTTGAGGTATGTACTTCAGCAGTACCTCCGTTGAGTTTTGTAACCGCTACTATGGGTGTGCCGGCAGTTCTGTCATGACAGAGACAAATGCCCTCCAGTTGTTAGGACAAACAAAACCTTGTGCAATATTAACTCTAGGTGCATGTGTGTGAGGAGGTGGAGAGCAGTGGTGTCAGAAGTGAAGACATTAGTTCTCCCATATGGAGACGTGGCCTCTTATTAAAACGCTGTGCAGTTTAGCCTGTGAGTGTGCTGTTGTGTAGATAGGAAGAGTGACTGTGGTTTGGGCCATTTTCTCTTCCACTCTGCCAATTATATAATGCAGCCAGGCAGGTTTCTAAGCACCAAGGTGAGCTCTGTAGCCAAAAGGTTGCACACCTTCCTGATAGTGTAGCCTAGCAGATAGATGAGCACTAGTATTTAGTGTTTCTCTTCTGAATTTATATAACCAGATACATTTGAGTTTGATAAGATAAGGACCTAAAACCAAATACTTCATTCACCATTCTGCTCGATATCCGTCTGTGCTGAACGTTTGGTTTCCTTACAGTGAGCTCCTGAAACTGTAGAAAGAAAAGGTCAGATCTGGCAAGGCATGGAAACTCAATACAAAGTAAGGATAAAATCTGTGAAACATATAAAATCCCAAGTATTTTAAGCTTGCCAGCGCATTTTTATGATGTTGTTAAGAACCTAATAACTTTCTTTTCAACATTTTCCAGACATTCTGTAAAGGATTTTGCAGTTTAATACTGAGACTGTTGTAGACTGTACATTATTCTTCCAAAGCTCACAGTCTCGGAGCTATAAACTCTCTGGCGAGCTAGTTCACATCAAACCCGTGTGGCTGGAATTCGGCCCAGTGACCACTAACACTCCGCAGTGCCTTCATGCTGTTCCAAGTGTAAACCAGCTTTTACTGAGTGGAACATCAGAAGTTCTGTCTCCCTAGAAGACCCCTTTATTCCCGCTTTGTTGAAAAGTAGCTGAATATAAAGTAATGAAAGTGCTTCAACAGCAGAAAATAAAATGCAAATTTAACAGAAAGATTTGCAGACAAAAGTTAGACAAACAGATCAGCCAGACAAACTGTGCTGTGTGTGCTGTAATGGTTTCCACTAGACAAGAAAGCTTATTGCTTGAAATATATATTCAGCGCTTCTCATGAATAAGTATATGTTGTCCTCACTAAGATTTAGAAAATCTTTTCCTTGGAGGTAAACTAGCGATATCTAGTATTGTCTATCTCGTGATCGCATAAAGTACGCAAGAATTACTATCTCGTAATTACAAGATAAGGCCGAGGACTTTTTTTTCTTTCACGGCAGCAATCCGCTTCCATAAGTTTTAACTTCTTTCCAAATATCCGAATTCCAAAAGAAAGAGAGCAAATTTAATTCTCATATTCCTAAGATTTCCATATCTGTACAATGTTTCACATTTTACTTGATAGCTTGCCTGCAGTTGTCTTAAGGGGATAACTGGGAGTTGTGGAGACCCAGCATGAAGACTTGAGCCCCTCAAGTCACCAGGACGCTGGTGTGAGGCTACAAACGATGAAATAAAGAGAGCGTCATTCAAAACTACCTGCTGTCATGTCTAAGGAAATCATTTTTGACACTAAATTTAATTCTTAACACCTGTTAGCCTGTTAGCATTGCACATAAATTTAACTTGCTTCCCCCCCAAATAAAAAATAGGAAACTCACTAATAGAACTGCCACCAGTTTTGCCTCAAGTCTTGAAAACTACCTGCTGCACCAGGGAAGAGTTGTTCCCCAGCAGGGAGGGTCTGTGCGCAGCCTGCACAGGCTGGTGAGTGCGGCTGTATGACAGCCCAGCCTTCAGCATTGCGTGGAGTTTGGAGTGATTAAGCCGTTCATCACAGTCCGCTCAGGCGTGACTAATGTGTTGCATTTGTTCAGTGTTTTGATGTTGACCTCATGATGATTTCAATTGATTTTCACAAAAACAAGTTTATTTTCAACAACAGAAAACTGGTTTAACTGGAGTACTGTGATGCACAGTGTTCCACAGCTGTTTGAATCAGGGTGGTTAAAAAAAGCTGTGGTCAGTTTTTACTAACTGCATTCAATTAACGGTGGTAGTTGGTATGCTACAAAAGCAATGTTTTACGCAGCATTTTATTTAAAAACATAAGTAATAATATTGTTCAAAGGCCAGATGCAGCAAGAGTATCCACTGATTTGTTGCGTCTAAGCACGAAGATTGGCTGAGGTGGAGTGGTGATGGAGAGCGTAGAGGTTTAACTTCAGTCCCTACATCAAGGCATCAGGAGACTAAACACAGATGCAGCACAGTTTGTAGCTGTAGTTGTGAGGGCTGCAGAGATGAAGGGGCTGGTACTGCTGCAGTAGCGCTGAGAGTAGCCGTCATGACCATGTGATCGGGCCTGGCGACACTGCCACAGTCACAGGCACACGGGCGCGTGTGTTGACTGTGTTAGACCTCTTGCCAGGTCTCAGGGGTGATGCGACTTAACAGTGTTTTACACCTTCTCTCCTCTTTCAGGCCACCTACAAGCCCTTTCTGAAGCAGGCACTGGAAGAGATCTTCCACCCTGACCGACAGGACTCCCAGGACATAGAGCACATGTCCTCCGGCCTGACAGACCTGCTGAAGACGGGATTCAGCATGTTCATGAAGGTGAGGGCTGCAGCGCCTCCGATTGATGCTTTATGGAGCTTCCCTTATCCATTCATCATGTTATGATGGAGGATTAATGCATACAGGTGGTTGACGCCTTCTTCAGGTGAATTTATATCACAGTTTGCAGCTTCCAGGTTGTGACCAGACACACTGCAGTGTGTGGAGAAACACTGCCTGGCACCCGGAGATCCGCCGGTGTCCAGGCATCAGGTCTGATTTTATTGAGCAGCTCTGCTCCGGCCCACCACCATTTTTGAGTAATCGCTAATTTTATTTTCTTGAATCGGGTCTCTGGTGCTTCTTTTTTTGAATCGGGTCACAACATCAAGTCGTGTTTGACTTGCATATGGTTTTAGAAAAATGGTGTGTTTTTTTCTCCGTATAAACTATCAGAGCTTGAAGCCCTGTGAAGTGGTTCAGGATGTTTCTTGGCTCTGTGACCAAGCTTGCCGGGGTTCGAGCAGTGCAGGTAAACATCTGAGCTCTGAGAAGACTGGTTAATTATTCAGACTTGAAGAGGATGTCCTCATCGCCACAGGCACTGGTCACTCTGACTGGGTCGGGCTGGCTATCCGCTGGACCTCGACCACACCGTGGGTCCACTCTTCCAGACATGTGGCGCCTGCTCTTTGTGTCGGGCTGAGCACCAGAACTTGGGATGGGATTTCCTGACCCCGCCTTAAACCTGGGAATCTGGGCAGTTTGTCTTCCTCTTTGTGCTGCTTTGCCCCAAAAGAAAAAGCAGGAGCCTTGTTTGAATGCAACTTTACTCTCTTCACTGCCCCCAGCCTCTGAAAGGTTTTAAACGTGCTGGAAATTCACAGAAATCTGTTTGTTTTTATTCAGAACGTGCTTGTGTGAGAATAAATTTGGCTGTTTCATGCTCTTCTATGAAATATTTAGGTAAGCTGTCAGTGGGCATTCTTTCATCTCAGGCAAGCTTGTCATTTTTTTCAAGAGCGTTTTTATCTTCCTCTAAAGCTTCCATGAAGGAATAAATAAACAATCCCCTATTTTCTGTCTGCAGCAGATTGGAAATAACACCGCTCTGAGTGGAAAAATCCATTGATGCTTATGGGATGTTGGTACATTTAGTGAGAAACAGCTTTTCCAGTGTTGGCTTCGGTAATTTAGCACATAATTCCCTTTCCTGCTTGCAAGGCTGATGCATTAAGGCTAAATTGATTACGAGTTGATGAAAGACTTGACAGTCACACATGGTTCTGGAATCTCTCTTCATAAACCCACTAACAGCAGCAGTGCGCTTGGAGCCACCTCCAGACTGGATCTAGAACGAACAGAATACAATACATTTATTCTCTGCGCCACAGAAAGTGAAATGAAATTTGACTATTAAAATGCATGCTTGAACTGTTTTAAGAAAAACAAGTATGCGCTCTATTGTAGTACAGCAAGACTTCTTTACTAATTTCTTTAGTTCAAGGACTGTAAGACATTAGTGTAAAGATGAAAAAATATTTTTAAGGTGCTTTTTAGATTTCCCCAGGTGCTGACTTGTCCTTGACAGTCAGAGCTGGTTCTTCCAGAGAGTGCCTTTTCCAATGTGCAGGGAAGGTATAGTGAAACTTAGTCCAACTAGGATAGAAGCCATCCCATCTTCCACAAGACTGATATGGCATTAGTATATTCAATATCGTGCACTAATGATGTAATATGTGCATACAAAGTGCATGTAACCTCTACAGAGTATTTTGAAAGAAAGGTTCACAGCTCCATTTTAGGTTTAGCAAAAGTCCTGTCTGACAGCCAGTCAAACCCAAGTGTTCAAAATTACACTGTGAAAAGTGTAGTGTCTCTTAACAAACCCGTGTAAAAGGCAGGTTGAACTTGTTTTTCTAGACACACATCACTCTTGTACTGAAGGCACTGAGTGATCAAAAGGCACCTGAAAAGGGCTGAGATATGAGTACAAGTTGTACATGTCTGTTCCCTGGCTCCCTCCTTCAGCGTGAGATGTGTGAGACACAGCAGTCGACTCAGGTGGAAAGGGCACATGTCCTGTCTGCTGCCTGCCAGTCCTGTAGAGGAGTCTAATAGGAGAAGCCCCGCCTCCTCTGTGAGGAGAGCAGGTCCCTTGCCATTTGGTCAACTTAATGGCAAAGCTGTGTGTTTATTCAGAAGTGGAATTTCTGGAATTTGCTGTTTGTATTGATCTCTCATGGTCAGCTTGTGTAAACGCTGCCTGTTTGTTTATTTGCTGGTAGCTTTGTTGTGAAGCTGGGATGTCAGGTTGAGGTGGACAAGCTGACAATGGTCCCACGTCCCTGCTTAGCGCCAGCACTGTTTGCATGAGCTCTCTGACGACACAGGAGAGGCACTGCTAGCAGAAGGCGCGCTGTGTAGAGGAGGGCGCTGGATTTGCAGGGACGTCTCCAGAGCTATGTGCATCAAAGTCACTGGGAAAACAAACCAGCCGGCACCACAAGTACTGTATAGCACTCATCCAGAGCAAGCCCAATTAAAATCGTCAGGGGGCTCTCAGCTCAAAGCATTTTGCTTCATGAAAATGTAACAGTGGTGCTGTTCAGCAAAACACTCATTAAACTTTTTTTGAAAAACATCTGCAAAGTGGGCAGTTTAATAATAGCCATTGCCTTGCTGTTTCGTGACTTTGTGATTCGGAATAAAAACCGCCAGCCTCAGCCCTTCTCTGACAGTGCTTGGAAGAGAAGAGGCCACAATGCTCTGTCTCCTAAATTCCTAATCAGTTGTTGGCGGCTCAGACCATTGCCAGTTTCACACAGACTGAAAGTGGATAGATGGTCAATGGTCCATTCTTCATCCATTTCACGAGCCAAGATGGTGCCTTTCTCACTAAGCCATCATATAAACTTCTCTGATCATTTTGACTTCTGTTGACCTTGAATAATTTAGATGGCTCAGTGGGAGAGAAGAGGACGAAGGTGAATTGTGGTTAACAACATAGAGCTCCAGTGCCTTTAGAATGGTTATATAATTAATTATTAATTTGCTTGCTTCTTTTTTTCCAACACTCACTTCATTCGTGTCAGAGCTTTTTTTAATCGCATGTGACTCAGAAACCAGGGCTTCGGTGCTGCGGGTGAAACCGCGCTGCTCTGGACGAGGTCTGCGTGCGCAGCAGTGTGAGGGAGCGTATGGAAGCTTCTGTCCTGGTGAGGCCCAGACCAGCGGAGGACAGAGAGTGGGCGACCACTGTCGTCACTGTTTCACATTTGTAGAGTTATTTTGTAGGACATCAGGCTTTGTGTGTGTTTTGGTTTTGTGTCGTCTTCAGAAAGGGGTGAATAAAAGGTCTGAATCTCTGTCCTGGTCAGCTGAAGAAGCCTTTCAAGGGATAAAGTTAAATCAGACGGTTGTCTCTTATTTGATCAGCTAATACAAATCCAGTGTGTTTTGTGTAACTTATAGTGTTGCTGTAACCCTTTTTACTCTGGCTGTCACTCACAGTTCTCTGCTGTCTGGGAAGTCCGTTTCTCTTTCTTCTTCCTGTTGTCTTAGCGAGGGAAGATGATGAAAAAGCCACCGAGAAGCTGCCTGCCGTTCCAACGTGCGACACAGATAAATATTTCTGGGAAAAGAATCTGCAGTTCCGCTCTGTGCAGCACCAGGCGCAGGTCTGGAGAAGCTTGAGGATTCTGTGTCCTGGCTTCTCTTCGATCAGGCTGTTGAGTGTCTGAAGTCTTTCTTCCCTGCATGACTCTTTATCTGTTCCTTAACAAATTCTTATTCCTTATTATTTAAAGATTATTAATTTACTTGGCTCAGGCGTTTATCCAGCATGGCTGAATGGCTGTTAATACAGCTGGTCACTTTCCTGGATCACTGTGGGTGCAGTGCTCTCCTCCAGGGGATATGCAACATCGTTTTATTTTCCTGCTTACGTGACCAGACTAATGAAACTCTCATAAGGAGCCTGCTTTTCTCCGGAGTGACAAAGCCTGGTAAGGTGGAAGATTCGCCATTCATGAAAGGTGGCACTGTTCTGTGGCGGGCAGCACAGCTCGCAATGTGCAGCCAGTGAGGTGCAAGTAGCAAAGTGCAGATAGTAAGTAGGTGCCCTCTGGGAAAGTAGTTACTGTATGTTTCCACGAGTCTTGTTCCATTAAAGATAGTTTTTTGCACAATCGAAGAGGGGGATTCTGTAATAAATATAGGCTTAATCCGTACATACAGATAAAATATTGTATGAACACTTAAATATGTTATGATCAAGTAAACCATGGCTAACATTGTTTAAAAATGAAACCTAGAGTGGTCATGGAGAAATTAATAAAGATTGTCATAAATATGAAATTATTGTATTTTATTACAGTAAACATAGAGGTCTTTTTAAATGACATGCAAGTGGTTTAAAACCAGAATTTCTAAAGTGCTGAAAAATATCTTAAATGGTTTCCTTTTGTGTTTTTGATTTTCGCCTGATCATTTCCTGCGTGTTTTGAAATGTCTGGAAATGTTTACCTTTCTTCCTGTGTTTTGTAAAGATATTATTTGTTTCCATTTACCTAGAAAACACTCTGTGCTTAATGGGTTCCTATTCATTTTGAGGTGCTCCCACAATTGTTTCCTGCTGAATTTCTTCTGACATCTGTATAAATGTCAGTGTTAATGAAAAGCACCTGAATCATGGTTCCCCACATGGACAACACTGCCCGTGGCACCTTTCTGCTCAGACTGCAGCTGCACTGTGTGTGTGGCTGCTTGTTCACTGGCAGTGACAAAAAGCTGGACAGCCTTCAAAGTATTTCGCTCTCGTTCAGAATTATTTCCTCTTTTTCTCTCTGTAAATGTCCATTTGGCAATTGCAACAAGTGAACGACAAATTCATTTTGTTTGCCTTTTCTCTGCTCATATCGTCCCCAGTTTGATAACCTTCAGAACGTTTTTTCTTTTATGTACAGATCTTTCAGCGTATTTAAACAAAATGTCCTGTGTCAAAAAGGCAGATGGTGTTTAAATGGTGTTTTTCTTAACCTGTTTTTCCATTGTCCTCGTACAAAACCAGTGAAACAAAGCTGCTTTTGGATGAAATTCTTTTTTAATCTGGGTGATTTATTCAACAGGACAGACCCTTCTGTAAAACTGCTGAAAATGATCCAGCGTGTGGCATGTTCCTTGATTCCTGGTGACCTCAAGATAGTAGCTGACCAGGCCTTTTTCTATCTGCTGTGCTCTGCCAAATTACTGCAGATGATCTCCTCTTGTTTCCACACTTTCTAATGTTGTTATAGAAGAAGGCTGGTGCAGTATATTCCTCCCAGGATGAAGCAGGCAACAGTAGGAACCAAGCCTCTGAGGGCCTGTGTTCCTGAAAATATCCTGATCTCCAGGCTCCGTATTCTGCCAGGCTCTCGGGGAGTTAATGATCAAACCGGATTGTGTTCCGCAGACACACAGTTTCAGCGGTTTGCATTACCAATGTGCTCCCCAAAATATAAAAATGTATTTTATAAAGGTATCAAAAAGACTAAAAGAGCATTTAAATCGAGTATAAAATGCTCTGTTTTCCTTGTTGTTTTCTATCTTGTTCTTATGTGTGCGCTGGCTGATTTCTTTTTTTGTCTCGGTAAGCATTATGGGATGTAATGCGTGCGTCCTCAGAGATGTTTGCTTCTGAAAAAAGCTGAAGGTTTGGTTTTGCAGCGTAACCACTAAAACACAATTAGTTGGGAATGTGACATGGGAATAAGTTCCCCTCCCTGGAGGATCTCTTCAAGTAATAAGACTTTCAAATGTGGAAAACTCCCCCCAGGTCCACTGTCCTGGCAGCCTGTGGATCACAAGGGAGCACTGGCAGGGGCTGAGCTGTTCGTCATGCAGCAGATACTGCAGTCTATATCCGTGACAACACTGTAACATATAAAACTAGAATCAGATCACAGACTATTACTGCAGTCTGCCCTGAGCGGAGGGCCGTGTCCGTGAGGAGTTCTGTAGAAAGTAAGAGGCAGGATGTGGTGCTCTCACAGGGACAGACCTCCTCCTTGGCCAGAGCCCCCACATCGGGGGACAGGACTGCCCCCCCCAGCTGTTCCCCCCACCCCAGGCCGTCGGCAGTGACCCCACTCCTTCTGCACACGTCCTTCAGAACGTCCTTCAGAACAATTAGACCATGAGCTAGTTGCTGCCATGGCAGCAGGAATTAGGTCATGGAGACATTGTTGCATCGTTGTACTTGTGAAGGTGTTGCTGAGCTTTTCTCTTTGGCCATGAAGGTGTCAGTTTTGAGTCAATGTTCTTTAAAATTAAAAAAAAAAAATCTTTCTTGTGTTGCTTTAGAAGAATTCCAGCTTTTTCTCTCCTGTAGTGCATTTTTTACAGGCACTGCAGTCACTACATAGCTACCAGGACAAATGGGCAGACAGACCTATTCCAGCAGACATTTTTGCAGTGTAAATGCTACTGAATTATTCTTCCTCTCAGGAGTTCAGGTCATATTCCCAGACAGAATATCTGCTAGAGTGAAACACCCTGAGGACGACATGAACTTTCACAGTGGGCACTGAGTGCCAGCCCACCTGTCCTGTTTTCACATTGGAATCAGTCAGATCCCACCCATGGAAGTTTATCCCCCGGGATAAGTCATTCGCAATCACCAAATGTCACAGGAAGTGAACCGGGGCAAAGGAACTGCCCCAGACAGTGTGGGGGTTAAAACAGGAAGTAATTGTGAGGAAGATGGCAGCCTTGTATGATCCATCCCTGACCTGGATTCCAGCTTTGAGTTTTTTTCCAAGTATTTTTATATGTTTATATGGTTCTCGCACTTGGTAATGATGTTTGATGTGGGAAAGGCTGAAGTCTAACATGAGCACATCTTTAGGATTACATTATACAAATTGAATAATTTCAGGCTCATCTCTGTGGAGAAACACCGCCCAACAGGAGTGTGGGCACTGTTTCTGTGCATAACAATGTTTATTCCTTCATATAGTCGTATACCAAGGTCTCCTATTCAAGAAACCTTCGGGCATCTTTGCACTGATTATCATCTGTCTTTAGAAATACATTAAATTATTAATCTGTGACTGTGGGAAGAATCAGAAGAAAAAGCTGTGCTCAAATGCAGTCTGTAGACTGAAATGATTAGGAGGCTGTCTCTGCTAATAAATTTAGAATTACAAACTGCACCCCTTGTGCAAAGCTCTGAAGCCCTGTGCTCAGACAGTCACCATGCCACAGGCTTTATTCTCAAACGCTCATGGCCAATTGTCAGGCACAGTGTCTGTCTGACCTGGTACGCGCTCATTATTTTTGCCCTATTTACAGTATTTCTGGCTTGCAGTCTCTGCATCAGATAATGAGAATGTTGTTTTCAGTGTGAAAAGGAACATCTCTTTTTAAGAAATAAAGAGCCAAAAGCATTTTTTTTAGTTGGTGCTTTTTTTACTCAGGTTTCAATGAACCCATTCTGAAATTGTTTTTAGTCCTATTATTGAGGAAGGTCCCCAGATGTAGGTCATTAAAGCAGGTATTAGATGAAACTATCGATAGTTTTCTTCTGCCAAGCTTAGCACTAAACCCAACACCTTTCTGTGTATTTTGTGGCTCAGTGAATCTCAATCTCTCTGTCTCTCACTGGCCAACTCTCACAGGTGAGTCGCCCCCATCCGAGCGACCATCCTCAGCTCATCCTGTTCATGGTTGGAGGAATCACCCCCTCAGAAGTGCGACTGGTCAAGGAGCTGGTGTCGTCACACAAGCCTGGCATGCAGGTAAGAGCCTGGTATACAGGTAACTACAGACTTGCAGCACACGGGCCTGGTATACAGGTAACTACAGACCTACAGCACACGGGCCTGGTATACAGGTAACTACAGACTTGCAGCACACGGGCCTGGTATACAGGTAACTACAGTGTCACAGCACACAAGCCTGGTATACAGGTACCTACAGTGTCACAGCACACAAGCCTGGTATACAGGTAACTACAGTGTCACAGCACACAAGCCTGGTATACAGGTAACTACAGACCTACAGCACACGGGCCTGGTATACAGGTAACTACAGTGGCAGAGAGCTATCACCTAGCAACACCCTGCATCCTGGGGAAGAGTTAAGACATGGAAAAGTTCAGAGAGGCGATATTGTGACTTAGAAACAAAAAAACTGCTGGTATTTTGCTGGTATTTTGCAGGGTACGGCATTTCATTTAATTACCTTAAATAACCCTTGCGGTGTTTTGTTTCAGCTGTTACATAAGATTTTTTTTTCATTGTTATAATGGTTTTCAAATAGCTTTACCTGAAGTCAGAATTTTAATCAGACTTTAAAGAGCGTTTGGCAGGTGAAAAACTAGGACAGTAATAATTTGGGATGCCACAAGAATTAAGGCGTTGTTTGAAAATCATTGTGTTCGCCAAGATTGAATTACCTGAGATTTATATAACTTTTCTAGAGGCCTCATGTGAAGTGGAAAGCATGCTGTCACAAATGTCCTTGCAAACTGAACAGAAAGACAAAAGAAAAAATAAAGCAGGCTGTATTCTGTTGTTTTTATTGTATATGCTGTACCTTAACCTTACCTCATCTCAAGAATGTACAGTAATTACTCAGTCGTAAAGTAAGGCTGGGATTCAGAATACTTGGGCTTGATGACAGCCGTGTCTTGATATTCCCAGATGTTGTACAGTCTCTGAGAGTGTCTCACTGGGGTCACAGGACATGCACAGCTGAAGTTGACCCTCACTCCCAGGACAGACTGTATCCCTCATGCAGAATCTCTCTTACAAAGCAGCACATCCAGATTGACTGTTTTTAATGTAGGAAAAAAACTCTGCTGTAAAAATAACCCCTTTCTCATAGAAACAATCGTGTGTCAGATTGACTCCTCATCGGGAGCTCAATTTTAATTCCTGGGCCTTTGGTATTCAAGCAATTAAAGTCTCGAGAGGAGCTGGTATAGGCAATGCAGAAGTCTTAAGAGCCTACTGGGCAGCTACCCAAAAACACTGGTGAAAAACAAGAAGGTCTTTACTTCAGAACTGGAGGCATCTATTTATAGGAATAAGAATAAACTGCAACAGTCCATGTCGTTGAAGCAGATTCCATGAGATGTTTAACCGGCTGGGTGAGATTCTCAGATCAATAGTCTTCCAGCAACCAAGTGGCCACGATGGACCAGCTGGTCTCCTCTCGTTAGTACCCTCTCTTATGTGCTGATGTCCCAGGATCCTCTTGTGATTGTGTGCACTCCCTTAGCAGGATGTCAGTGCTTGACCGGTGTCTGTAGAACCTGAAACCCAGAACTAAGCTGTCTGGCAGGATAATGTAAAGTAGATAAAATACAGGGAAGGCACAACAAAAATGTGTGAATTCTCTTGTGAGTTCAGGTCTTTGACCTCTAGTCCCTACTTGCTCCTGGTTTCATCGTGTTGTTTGTTGAAGAGTTCTACTTTCTTACTACCTAGCGCATACTTGTCTCTTAAGTTCAGTTTTTCCAGGTGTTAAAAGGACTTGTTTTCATCATGCTCTGGAAAGCTCCAGACTGACGCTCTTTAGGGTAATAATGGGGTCCCTCTTGGTGTGTCTGAATGTGGCTCTCGGGCTGTGGGAAGAAGAAGAACAGAGTCGAGCGGTCAGGTAAGCCTGCGATCCTTAACGCACTCAGTCCCCTCAAGCCCTGAGGTTGCGTTACAGTGTTTCTTTGCCCACTTAATCGCTCGTGAGGATACAGCCGCCAGCAGCTCCCTAAAACATTTACTCCGACACAAAGGAGAACAGCAACACACAACCAGGGGAAGCTCACACGTCTTCCTCTCGGAACAGATGGCAGCTTCCAACCTGCATTTCCCTTTCAGATCCACATGTCCACGCGCGATGGGGTTGTGCTAATGATGTCTCATTGTGATGAAAGGGGGAATTTGAAAGCAGGTCCTCTTGCCCTCCGGCAGCAGAGGCTGACCTGGCGCGCAGTGATCGCTGGCCCTCTGTCGCTCCCTGCTCTCCTGGGGCTTCAGCTCCCCGTTCCAAACCCCTGGCGCAGCACGACACAGCTCAGCGACAGGAAGGAGGAGGCAGGAGAGTCCGAACCCGGGCTGGGGTGCAGTTTCCAGAAACAGCGCTGCAGTACGTGCGATGTGCTTCATTGCTCTCTGTCTCTCTCTGGCAGTACAGCAGCAAGAATATCATTTTTGTCATTTAGTTTATCTGGAGCTTACGCCTTTGAAGCCTTTGTGCACAAAAAAGTCCCTTGGCACGCTTGGTTTCATTTCAGAAGGATTCTTCCTTCGCTGAGCAGAATCCCTCCCACGCAGCAGATCTGAAGCAGAGCTCCCACAGTCTGCTCTGCAAAGCCTCTCCCAGACCAGACCCCCAGAGAGCACGAACGGATCCCACAGCACATGCATGCGGGCTGTTCCACACACTGCGCTCTCCGGTTTTAAATATCACCACTCGGACGGCTCGGCCACGGAATCCATCACTTTGCACACAGTTTCCGGGTTTGTCTTCTCCACGTGAATTGGCAGGATGTCTCACCAGAGGCTCAAGCTGGTACACCCTTCCTGTGATAAGTGTTCTCTTTTATGAGTTCAGAAAATCATTCGGCTTTGCTTTGCTCAGCGGCCTCACAGATTGTCCCCCCCCTGCTGTAACAGTGTGCCTTACTGCAAATAACCATTAAAACACAAGCAGTTTAATCTCTGGGGTGTTTTATCTGTGAGTCCCAGATCTGTAGAGATATGGCAGTCAGTTCAGCATCATACTGATTGTTATTGAGCAAATGTACATCAATATGGGACATAGCGGATATGTTTCTTGGATGTAGTATTGCTTTGGGTTTAATGTTGCAGTGGTGCTTGCATTAAATATTTTTTAGCAGTATATGTCACCCTGGTGATGGGCACTTTCTAAGAGAGTATAAGGCGGCATTCCTCACTAGCAGTGTGCTTTATCTTCTTTCTTGTGTTGCCATTCAAATGTTAGGTGATAGTTATATTCACTTCACTGCGTTAATGCTGATCCCCACTGATAGATAGGATGGCTGGAACAACAGCAATGTCTGCAAGAGGGACTTGAACCCACAACCTGTCAGTTAGGAATCCAGAGACTTGCCCAACTACGCTATGCTGACCACTAAACTGGAGCATGAAAATATTCAAAAAAAATTTAAAAAGAAATTATTTGGTTGTGACAGTTGTAATACTCTGCAGTTGTTGCTGTCGTAGTAGAATAATCCAGTTTTTAGTCTAGGAAAGTGAAAAGTGGAGACTTGAAAGAGTCACTCACCAGAACATTGTCCTGCTTCAGGCTGTGTAATACTCCCAGCCTTTGCAGGGAGTCAGGTTTCAAATTATTGTAGTAAACACAAGATAGGCAGTTATGAATGGCCTACTTGTACTTGGTTTAGTGAAAAACAGTGCCTTTTTCTCTTCAGTCTTATGAGACGCTCTCAGTAAGGCTTGTTTCCCTTCATTTGTCCTGTAAAGTCTGTAGCTGATACCTGCAGGACAGCTGTGCTGTCTGCTCTCAGGACTGCCCTTTCTAAGCATGACTCATCACAGCAGGATTCTTTTTTGTCAGCTTTCGTAAGGAATTTCTCTGTAAAGCCAGGGTATATCTGCTTTGAAAAAAAGCTGTCAAAGTTATTGAAAGACCCAATTATGGCTTTAGAGTTTTTTCGTGCAAGACAGACTATGTTAGGGATTATCGGGTTTTGTAGGCAGGACATTTGCATTAGCTCTTCCACCTGTGTAGTAACTGCAGAAGTATTTCAGCTGTTAAAATAAATTGAATCATACCTGAGGCGTTACCTTGCCCTGACACTATGAACTGTCACGCGGCCGCGGACACAGGACACCTGTCCTTTACCTGTCAGTTGTGGCACTCTGAAAGGCCCACACTCCTCGAAGGTCATGTCCAGGCAGACGGCCTGCACTGTGGTCGGGGGTCTTGACAAGACAACTCTACTGAGAGCCCCCCCCCCGTGAGCTCTTTGTATAGAGGCTGCATCTAGTCTTTTTGTCAGATGAGTGTTCTGGATTTTGTGTCTGGGGACTATTACACTGGTAACCTGACTAAGCTGGCTTTAGTCAAAGATGCTTTATGGGCACTAATTAAGGCTTTTTCACAGAGAAAATACTGTATGTCTGTAACAATACTGTTGATATCTCCTGTCATGCACTTATGGATAAAGTGGAATATTGAAACAAGGCTGCATCCTATGTCAGTGTGCATCATGTCAGAATGTGGTTCCGGGGTCTCCCAACATCACGCAGGCAGGCAGCTCTTCTGCAGACTCTCAGTAACGTCACGCAGGCAGGC